TTTGAAATTAATTTTTTCTTTAACTGTTTCCTGTTTATGAAAATATAGTTGTAGTGACAGTGTAAGGGAAAGCTTCGGGGGATGGTTGTTTCTAGTAGCAATAGCATCTGTTAATACAAACTTCAAACAGCTTGCTCAGGTTTTTATGTGACCTTAAAGACTTATTCCACAGCAATCATAAAAAAATAATATATTACTCAGCTCTTTATACTGTCATTATGATGTATTTTTCACTTTGTAATTCATTCATGTCTAAACCTTTTCTGAATTACCCGGTTGTTTTCTGCTAAAATCTACCAAAGGTGTGACGAAGTAACTGCAATGACATGAAATTTTGCGTCATGGTAATTGTGATAAAGGAGGAGATATACCTTGAAATAGAGAACTGCGTTCTGACTTCTATATCCCATGTTTGTGTTTAGTCACGTTCATTAGAAATGAACCTACCCGTCTTTAGATATTCAGCTGTGTGTATTCATAGGACAGGTCAGACAGAGAAGACTAAACAAGGGAATAAGGCCATACCACTTAAAGAGGAACAGGTTTTTGGGCATAATGTTAGCTTTGTAAGGTTTGATAGTCAGGTATCTTTCTAGTCTACCTGTACCAGGTCCATGCAGTCAAAGATACCCCAGGAACTTATTTTGCTCTGTTCCCATTGTCACTGTAGGGAAGGTCAGTGGAATTTCTTTACGTAGAAAGCCAACAAGATCAACCCTAAACTCACCCAATTTGTAGAAAAATTGTTCCTCATTTTACCCAGTCCAGACCTTACTGAGCTCAGTAAGAAGGATGAAGATGTCAGGGTTGATTTTATACAGATAGAGCAAGTGTTTGTTTTCACATACAACTTAGCAATTAGCAACAGAAAGTACATAAACGGTGAAAATGTTCTTATTTCATGCTAGTTAGATAGGCCTCTGAAAATAGAAGTGCAGCCACTCTGCTGGCTGATACAGTGGTGGCAGGAATGTCCTGTGTTTTAGGGGAATTGCTTTGATTGAAACAGGTGTGCCACAGTGCTGCATCAATTTTGCTACTTTCTGATCTCACTGTAAAGTTTACCAGTGGCTTTTATAATTTTCATTTCCATTACTGGAATGTCTCAGAGAAGCAACGTGACTGCCTTGAAAGCATTTTCCATTATCTGCAACTAGTTCTGAAGTGCTTTCTGCTGTCCTTCCTGCGATGAATGCATTTTGGCTTACTTCAGGGGATTTGCCTTTCAGAATTCCAGCAACCAAGAGCTAGAGTTGCATTTTGAGACACATTTACTGGATGTGTGTAAGGTGTGCTGACTGGGAAAATCGACACCTCCTGGATGGGTGAGGGGCAATTCATTGTGCTAAGGCCACTGATTAGTGCTGAATTAAATGTTCTCACTTCGTTTCCAAATGTTATATTGCAGGGGTTGTTTGAAGTGCTAGTGAAAGTTTTTCCATAGTTCACTGTAAGTGATCAGGGCAAGCAACGTGAAGAGATGAATGGCTGAGTCTCTATGAAAAGATTGCAAAGGGACCAAGAGAGTAAAGGTCTTTAGCTTCTGAAGTCTCATTTGAACTAGGATGTATGCTTGCCATTTTCATCCTATATACAGCCCAAATAGAAATGAATCTTCTTGAGAATAGAAGAAAATCTCTGAGCAAAGACTGGAGTCTGGGTTATTTAATGCCTCTGCATATTTCTCATGATTATACCCATAGTTTTATCCTACATGGTGAAAGAAACATGGAGGAAAGGGAGGAGGAGATGCCTCAGAGGAAAAACAGACATTTTCCAAACCCTAGTAGTTTTAAAAACCATGGACTTAAGACTCTCTAGGTGAAGATGGCATGTTTCTGTGGAAGGGGAGCTCATGGGAGAACGTCATGCATTCCCTTTGGGTGATATTTGATTTGGACAATGAAACTAGAATCTGGAGATACAGAAAAGTCTAATCAGATAAGTGCAGTCAACTTGTAAATTCTTAAATAACTCTATCCTGGTACTCCTTGTCTGGAAAAAAAATACTGCTTCTTTTTGTGTTAAGTTTTTAGCATGAGAGGATACTTATGGTAATCCTGGACTGTGTAGTCTACTATCACAAAATTAAAGATGCAATGGATGTCATTCCATATCAGTTATGTTGCCCGAATTTTTCATAAATATATTTTGAGAAAGTGAGCAAGAACTTCTATTCTGTGTATTTCCACTTCTCCTTTGTACTTATTTTAACAAGTTTTGGCTGATGGAAGTAACTCATTGTATACTGACGGAGTTCATACACTTCTTTCTCAGATGTCTTTCCTTTTAAGACTGTTAATTAAAAAAAAAAAAAAAAAAAAGAGAAGCAACCTTCCCTTCCCCAAGTGAGGACATCTGTGATAGGAAGAAATAGAAGGGATGCATTTTGTGCTTTCTCTAGCAGTTGACCCTCTCCTTTCTCAGCATAGTGGTGGAGAACAATTTGAAAGAGAGTTTTCTTCACACAGGTGTCAAAGGCTAATGTGACTCAAGTAAGGATCATAAACAGACTTGGATTACCTTTTTTTTGTTAGGGTTGACTGTGGCAAGCTTGGTATGTGGTCACAGGAATTCCTGGGCAGCTGAGTGAACAACAGGGAAGGATATTGTTACGTTCCAGTACCCTAACTGGAAAATATTCTGGATGATCCTGAGAAAGATGGTGATCCATCTTTCAGTTAAAACTTGGGTAAACATTGGTTTTCAAATGTCACTTTTTTTTTTTTTTTCACCAAAGCATCCTAAGGCAGTGGGGCTGTAGAGCCAGTTTTTAAACCCTAATTGAAATCAACCTTATTTATGTCAAGCAAAGTACGTTAATACCGAGTTTCTAGAAAAAACTGTAGTAAAATGCGGATATCTAGAAGTAAAACATATCATCTACAAACCTTTACAAACCTACAAGGCCTTTAAAAGACAGTGAATAAGGCGGCAGCTGTGCAGTGTTATTCTCAAAGATGAGTGTTAACAAGTACTTTTTGCTTACTTCTAAGCACACAGAAACTGTCTTTTAAAAGATTGTAAGATTCATAAACTGAGGTACCTGTTTAAGAGTAGGTACTGGCCCCCAATATTTGATTTGTTTCTTTTGCCTTCTGGATGTGTTTGGTGCATTGCAGAGTTCTCGAGATTTCCTTTGATTCTCTAATGTACTTGCTTTTTTTTTAAATGCCTCTACTACATACTGTATCTTATAATTGCTGCCAGAAAAAACATGGGGTTTTTTTTATATATGCAATTTCTTGATTCCTTCTAGGTCACAGTAGTCTGAAAAGATGTTCCCATCTCACTTGGTTCTCATAAGATTCAGCAGGTTTTTTCGAAGGGGCTTTCAGATGACATGTTTCAAGAGTTGTGCTTTCATGGGCAACTACACACCAATAACTACAGAATAGTTTTGCTTGTCAGAAGAACCCTTTCAGGTTATGGATGACTGCAGAAATTCTCTTACTGTTTCTCATTCCCCAAGTAATAATACCTTTTATTTCTACCTTTGAGACAGGTTCCAAGTAGGAGCAGTTGAAGCACAGCCTTATTTTGTGAGGATATGATAGTTTCTATTACATTAACTTTCAAGGGAACAAAATTAATCTCAACTTACATTATATTCCAAGTGCAGTAACTTCAAAGAATTATTCAGTAAGAGATGGAAATAATGAAGGGGAAAAAATCTAGTTGAAAGTTAGGCATTGTTACTCTATATTCAGTATTGGTTAGTGTTACACTAAAGCTAGGCTGTTTTTGTTTCAGACTAAAATAATACTGTTCTGAAAGCAGTTTTGGTGGGCTTTAATTTTCAAGTAAGCTGCCTTCAAGCCATATGTATTACTAAAATTTGTGAAGACAAAACCAATATGCAATAGGGAAAAGCTACAGGTACATGGAGTAGATTTTTGATAGGGGACATCATAGCTATTCACAGGGTAAACTTTGACTCCACACTTCCAGTTAGGCAAGCATTTCAAAATAGTGATATTTCACCTTTTAATACAATTTAGGGGAAGTTGCAGGCCTTACATTCCTGCTTAATATTGAAGTCAACTCTTAATATAGAAGGCAGATCAATGGCAGGGGAAAAAAATAAAAAGCATGCTTGTAGTTCAAGAGAAACCCACATTTGATTTCCCACAGGTAACTTGATAGCATTAGCTGCTTGCTTCAATAAACATTGCACCAAACTGCAGTATGGAAAACCTTGCTCATATGAGTCTCTCCTCAGCAGTGTGACTCTTCCCTCTGTATATAGACAGAAAAGACAAACTAAATATGGAAACCCTGTTAAATTAAGGCTTTATGAGATGTGTATTGCAGAGCCTTTCTTCCATTAAGTGTAGTGTTAGATATAGAATCATGGAATCAACTGGTTTGGAAAAGACCTCTGAGATCATCAAGTCCAACCCTTTATCCAACAATGTCGTGGTTACTAGACCATGGCACTAAGTGCCACATCCAGTCTCATTTTAAAAACCTCCAGGGACGATGAATCCGCTACCTCCCTGGGCAGCCCATTCCAATGGCTGATTACTCTCTCTGTAAAAAATGTCTTCCTAATATCCAACCTAAAACTGCCCTGGCAGAGCTTAAGACCATATTTCACTCACTTTTCTTACATAAATAAAACTTTCTTTCTCATATATAAAAATCAATATAGTTGAAAAGAAATGCAGTCGAGCCTTTAAAAAACTTTTCTTTACTTCTGCCATTAAAAGCTAAGTGTTTAATCTTTAATAGTATCACCTATTGTCAAGACTCTAGGAGTGTGCAGAATGTGTGAATGTGCTCTACTTCCTACATTGCAATTTCAGTACGTATTTTGAAATACTAATTGAAGCTATTCTAAACATACAATATTCTGAGCTATTTTTTCTAGTATTTCTGTGGACAATCTTTCTGCCTTGGTTTTAAAAATAAGGAGATGATTGTCATTTCAAGGTGATTTCTGCTGAAGGTGATTTCTTCAGTACCTCAAGTTTTTAATAGGGGGGGAAACTAGCAATATGTCTTCTGATATTTATAGTGGATTCAAAACGCATTTGAATTTATTTTCTAAAAATGTTTTCTTCTCTCTAGAAGATGTGAAGGATGTCCTCTTGATATATGGACAAGAAGCAGAAGAGTGGGTACTGTATTTAAAATTTCTTTTTGGACACATAGTGAGTGAAGGAGGAATCTCACTCTACAATCTAGAGACTTCAACTTTCAAGCACCAGGTAGCTATTCTGTTTACCCTCTTATAAATGTAAACTCCTTATACTCTCGTGTGGACTTCTTAACTGCCTGAATCAAGAGAGATGTTATTTTCTGGAACAAGTTCTAAAACCTCTAGAAAATGTGGTAAATCTGCTTTGTGGGGTGGAGAATTCAATGATTCTTTATGAGACACTGACCTTAGATGGAGGCAGCAGAGAGATTTCCACTGATCAGAAACCTGAGGAATGTATCGCTGTTGTTACTGGAATTATTCAACCAGGTAATACAAAAATGAAAACTTTGTATGATTATTAAAAGAGTTTACTTAATCATTTGAAGGATAAAAATGTGATAATTCAGATTTTCTGGAGAAATTATCTCTCTTCAGCTTAGTTCAACAGTTTTGGTTTGATGATGCGTTTGTCACTGAAGTGTGATGAAATTGTTGTATTCTTAGTCCTGGTTCAGGGAAGCAGCTTGGAAAGTCTAAAAGCTGCCACTTGCAACTGTGAACCTTCCACCACTACTTCATAGTCAGACTGAAGAGCTGACAAACACTTATTTCTCTATTTCCTGAGTCTACAAATCTCAGTCTGTCCAAAACCATGGGTTTATGTGACAGTGTGTGTATCTCCTTAGACAAATCTGACAAAACAAAAAATAATTACTGAGACCCAGTTTCATGGTTGACAAGTTTTCTTGTGTTACACGTAAAAGCTGAAAGAGCAGAAGTTCCCTTCTACTTTTTCCAACCCAGGTAAAAAAACTGTAATGGAAAGACTAAAACTATCCAGTTTTATGTGTTTGCACATCCACAGAAACTAGAAGCATTAATGTAAAAATTAACACTTCTAGAATGTAAAAAGACTCCCTCTCTGAGGGTGAGAGGCACTGAAATGGCAGAGTCTGTGTACATGGTTTAATTTAACCCGAAATTTAACTTTGCCAGGCTGCACAAATGAAACCAGGAAATAGCTTTAGAAAGATGCATGAGCCACTTTGGAAAGGTGTAGTAAGCTGGGCACTGGTTTCAGGTAGAAAGCTGTGTGGTTTCCTTTGAGAGCATATTTACTACTGCTTCTTTGTAGTCTTTAGGTCTCTTACCTTCTCTCAGCTCTCGCTATTTAGTCAAGATTTTGTCTAGTAAGCAGAACATCGTGCTTCTGTCTTTGTTACCTGCAAGGTGCCATTTTATTGGCATGAGAGCTTGTGCTCGAGAAAAAAATCCTGAACTTCAGGATGTGTACTCAGACCTTAACCTAGTTTTGGATGCACATGAACATCTAGAATATTCTTTTGAACACTGGGGTAGAGAGACCCCAGCTGAGTCGGAGTGACCTAGCTGGATGTCCCTGCTGCCCTGTGCTTGAGCAGGTAAGCTTAGGTATACTATAAGGCTTTCAAACCTGCCCAGACTGTGTCTACACACAGTCTGGCTATATCAGATCAGTGTTTTCAAAATAGCATTTCAGATCTCCTCTTCAGTATTTAATAACCTTTTCCTCAGTATATCTTTCAGACTTTAAGTTGTGGGCTCATTAAAGTTGTCCATTTTGGTTTCAGAAGGTACTGTTTGCGATTTGTGACTGTGCCTGATACGTAGCTTCAGATTGAAGCTTCTTGGTAGTTTTTTAGTGGAATGAAAGCAGTGGGTCTATACTCTGTGTGTGTGTATAAGAAGGAACTGGGCTCAGAGACCATCTGTTGACTCATGCACAGGAAATTGCAAACTTCTCTGCAAAGATAAACAGTTTCCTAGAAGACACAGGATGGTTCTTTGCTTAGGTCTATGCACTCACGAAAGTATTTATTACATGTGCCCTTGGAAATTGCTTACAGTGTAATGCCAAGCAACTAGTAGGTGTTCAAATTATCTTTGCTTTGGAGGTGGTCAATATCAGCAACTTCAGAGATTAGTACAGAGCTGAATTAATGAATAGTGTGTGCATCTTTACCAGGGATGCATAGACTGTGGCTAAGATCAGACAAGTTCAATTGACTGAACTAGATCCAGGACTGGGAGTAGTATCGATGCCTGGTGCTTCAGGGCATAAGCACTTCCTTCACAATTATAGCTGAGAACTGCTCTGGCCCTGTTTTTTTCTGTACTGGTGTGCCCTGGCCATCAGCAAGGCCAGCTTGGATCAGTGCTTGAAAGGAGACCTCTGCGCTGCTCTCTGTTGCACAGTGAAAGTACTGTGAGATTTGCTTTCATTTGGCTGTTGATTTAAGTTCTGAGAAATGAAGATGAGCATGGGTTATCATTCTTTACCTTTGCTTAAAGATAATAGTGTCTGTATTTATGATACTCTTCTGTAGAATCCTATTAAGCTCTTAGCCTTTGTGATACTTGTGACAGGGATTTTGACAGATTACGCATCTGGGAAAGAGAATTTTCCCTTATAATAAAAATTATTTGCCAAGGGGTTATTGACTATATGAGGATTATTTTTTCCTTTGGAGTGATTTTTTTTTGGCCTTTCTTCAGGACCATGCACTCACAAGATTTCCCATTAGTCTTCATATGAATCATCATCTTCAATCACTTTTTATTTTCAGTGTTTGTCCCTAGTCCCTTATATTTCTGCCTTTGGAGATAGTGATCAAAACACTTTTGTGTATGTTCTTCATGGTTTCCAGTTCCCTTTTTTTTCCCCTGAACTGTTCATTGGTCTTAACTTGTTCTTCTAAGCATTTGTACCTTCTTGTCTCCTCAGTATTGGCAAGAGCTGTCACTCTACCAGTCTAAAAATTTAGTAATGTGCTTTAATTATAATGTCCCCACCACATGTCTTCCACTGTAACTAAATTCTGTTAATCCATTTGGAAAGCGTGCTGTTGAGGTCCTAGGACTAAGGGATACCAGGGCTCAGGAGTTGCTTGCAGGTAGTTAGAACAACTACTGGAAGATGGATGCTAAATTAGGTTGTTACCTCATGGTTCTGGAGAGTGTTAATAATGGAATAGCTTAGGTGCTAGTAATCACCACCCTTCCACTACAGATTTCTCCACACTCAGGAAAGTTCATAGACAAGGTAATTTTTCAGTTGTCTCTTCTTTCCTGGGTACTCTTCCCTTTGTACTTTCCCTACAGTCTGAGATGGAAAGATCGCAAAATAAGTCTCATGCCCCCCCAATTATTTCACCTACCAGATGGTTTCAGTTTCATCTTCTTGGAGCAGGTAGGGCTTTACCTGTTAAAATTTTGTTCTAGCTCTAAAGTAGTTTATATGCCAAAAATTCGAGGCAAAAGACAATGCTAATTAAAGTGCTGAGTAGCACTAAATAAAATGCAAGGGGTTTTGTATTCAGCAGAGAGCTTGTTTGCCCTGTAATTTGATTCAAACACAAAATCTGAACGGTTTGTCATTCTTGTTTGAACATGTTCTTGGAGGAATAAAGGGAGAACTGAGACATGGAAACTGGCCTTTCTGACATATATTTCCTAAATGGTGACAGAGTTTATTGTATTCATCTTGTGCATGAAGAAGATATTTTTATTGCTGTCAAAAAATTCCTTTGGCAGCACTTGTTCATAAAATATTTCACTATTTGAAAATGCTCCATTGAGATTCAGAGTTGGTTTTGAATTTTGTGTAAGAGCCTGTTGTCCTAAAAGAAGGTAATCTTCAGGGAAAGAGGAGAACAATCAGAAATTTTATTTTTCTATGTTAACATCTAAGATGTCCAGTGTGACTCTAAAATTCTGATTTTTCTTTAACTGCATTCCCTAATGTTGCTGAAAGTAGAATCAAGAGACATATTTTGTTTGCATCTGTCTTTTCCTGTTTCTTTTCACAGCTTCTCCTTGGTCTGCTGAACTGTGGACCTCCTTTTATATTAATTGACATACTTTCAATGTATTCATTTGGTACCCTGGGGTATTAGACAAAACTGGTGGGTTTTATTTAGTCCTGAAACACTTCCAATTCAAATTCAGGCAGCCATGTGTTTAAGCAAGGGATTTGTAGATATAGACAGGTAATTGCATCTGGAGTAGTTAGCTTAGTTCTTTCGATGTCCTGAATTTCTCCTGCAATTATCCTCAGTACTGATGATGCAGAAAGAGAATAGGTCTTATCTAATACAAATAATGTTCTGTGACACTGTTTCTAAAGTGAGTTGACACTTATTAAACTTTTTGGTGGGACTTCTTGGTACAACTCAAGAGTCATAGGTATCTGAGGTGCTTGTTGATTCTTCCTGCCACAGGTATCCCTTAGTCTTCTTGCTGTTTTATTAGGTGTTGCTGTTTACAGCTCAACAAAACAACTCTTTTCACTTTCACTTCCAGGCTTTCCTCTAAGCAGTGGTATCCTTTTTTTCCCTTTTTTTTTCCTTTTTTTTTTTCCAAAATATGAAGAGAATTTACTTCTACAAAATTTGATACTTGACAACTGCTCATCAAACCTACATGTATCTGTTAATTATCTGCTATTGTACTGAAAAGTGATAGGTACGTAAAGTAACATAACCCAACTAGAAAATGCTGTCCACAGTCTTCAACAGCCCAGGAAAAATTCTCGGAACAAATATGTACCTTTTACCTGAGACAGCAATATGCTATTATTTCTGATTGCTTACCTAAAAAATATTCCATGTACCTGCACACACTTTTAAAGACCAAGAAGACTAATGTTAAGAGAACTGCTTTTGCAACTACTAGTTAAGGTATAGATGTGGAGTAATGAGATACCAGCATTGGGTGTTTTTCTCTAATAAATAAATGTAGGGCAAACAGGCTGGGAGTTTAAAATAGGGCTTAACACATGCAAATCTTCAGACCACTTCAAATATGGGACCAGTTTCCATTGTTCTAGTCACAGGAAAAGAAAGAAATCATTATAGTTTTACCATAGCTTTCATGGTATCTGTTTCCTGATTCATTTGTAGTACAGTGGCATCAATTTTATTTGAATTTGGGTATAACACTGAATGCTGAAGTAATGCTTAACATTTTGAATCCACTGCTTTGCTTATTCTCCTGTAAATTCTCTTCATATTGGTACTCAAATACAAGTAACCAATGATGATGGATGTTCTTAGGCTGTCAGCAAGACTTGAGCTGATGAGCTAAACCCCTTAATTTAAGTGGGAACTTTACCATTGGCTTCAATGGCCATCTCACCTGGATTTTGACACTGACTTGGAGTCTATGCGAAAATGAAGCTAAAGTACTAATAAAAACCAAAATTGAAGAAGAAACAAAATCACTAGAACTTTTGGGTTTGTTTGTTTGTGAATACTGAACGCTGTGTGGTTTTGTGTGTGCGTATGCGT